CTCATGTCCTAATCATTTATGTTAGTACCACGTAATAGCCGTTGGAGATTCATTAGTATAATTCATAGGACGTGAATCTCCCCTCCTCTGTGGTGTTTGTGCAACAAATATTAATTCTTTGTATAACTCTCAGTCATAATTTGATCATGTTAGTATTGACTGGTCGTGGTTCATTGGTTTGAATATACATAGGGCATGAAGATTACATCGCCTTCTTGTGTTCTTTACCAAACATTGATCCAGCAAATATAACAGCAGCAACTGGGGAATCATGCAATTTCTCACTTGATTACCCATACAATCTAAACCTACCTTCAGTCACAATATCGTCAATGACTGGCTCAGTTTCTGTGCGGAGAACTGTGATGAATGTGGCCAACAAGACAGAAACATACCTGGGAACGGTTCTTCCACCAAATGGAACTACAGTTAAGTTGAATCCTTCTTGGTTCATCATAAATCCACAGAAAACACAAGATCTGGAGATTCAATTCTGTGTGACTCAGCCTGTGGGTGCTTTCAGCTTCGGTGAAGTTGTTTTCACAGGAAGTCTGAATCACATTGTGAGAATGACCTTGTCTGTGTTTCCAATTTCCGTATGAAGAAGAAGAAGAAGATGAAATTTCAATATGTTTCTGTTAATAAATGTTGTCAACATTAACTTTTTATGAATAATTGAAAAATAATATTCATGAATCGGCATGAAAGTACGTTTTTTACGTCACAGCTCATATCTATCAACAGAAAAAACCTCAATCAAGATTTGAGACACTTACACATGTATGTATGTATGCACGCATGTGCATGAAAGATGAAACCATAATCCTGGGCTGCTCAAATAGTGCTGTTCGGTGTTATGATTCCTTGAGTTACGAAGCAAGAAAACAAGGGCAACTGCTAGTGGGCTAAACATTAAAGTGCCAAAGGAAGAGAAATATCCAATATAGAATACTGTCTTCAGTCCTAAATATAAGAAATATGTAACTAATTTGAAAAAAGTTTAAGAAAATTAGTTAAAATAGTAATTGGTAATAAATGTGTGTTGATTTTTTAAAGTATTACTTTTAATTATCTGCATTAGATATTGCTTCAAAAAACCCTCTTTATATGTACAATCAATTGGGAGAGTTTATGAAAGAAGTTGTAAATTTAAAAGATAAACTGGATTGAGTACTTGTTTTTAGCAAGGAACAAAATACCGGACCGAACACTAAACCGGTTGAGATAGTAGTTCAAGGGTCAGTTGGTCAGACCGGGGTCAACTCGGGATCAAACCGGTCATATTAAAATAATATAATTTGATTGAAAATAACAAAATATAACAATACTAATAATCACTAATAACAAAATATAAGAAAATACAATAATAATTTGATTGTAATAATAATAAAGTACAACAATATTGAGAATTTTGATCTTTATAATTCCTCAATAACTAAAATTAGTAGCTATTGATACCAAAATTATCACTAAAATTCATTTAAATATATAATAAATGAGATATTAGAAGCTCAATGAAAAAAATATGACAAATAGTAATATAATTATTCAAACCGGTTCATTACCAGTTCACACCGGTTGGACCGGTTCAATCCGGTTCGAACCGGTTCCGGTTTAATTCATGAACCAGACCGGACCAATGACCAGTTCACCGGTTTTCCAGTTGAACTGGCCGGTCCAGTCCGGTTTTTTGTACTCTGGTTTTTAGAACCAATAGAAATCCCTTCACCAACTCTTATATTAAGAACTAAAGGTAATATTAAAATTTAAATAAGCCATATTTTATATAAGTGCCATATTACATATAAGTGGTGAATAGAGTGGGTTATTCTTCGAACTTTTATATATGTTTGATCAAGGATTTTGGAAGAGGGAATCGGGAGAGTGAAGTGGGGGAGAATAATCTTTTTTGTTAGAAAAGCTCTTGCTTACTATTTTTAAGGCAAATATTTATGTGCGAAAAACTTATTATATATTTTTCATAATATATTTCTAAATGGAATTGAAATATAATTTTAATTTAATCTTAATTTATAATTATTTTATCAAATTTTAATATTTTATTTTTATATAATGATTTCAAAAATTTATTCTAAAATTGAAATTATTTAACATTTCATTAATTAAGAAGCAAGATATGTGGGTCTCAAAATTGATGCAAAAATGAAAAAATGATAGAAAATTTTGTAGAGATTTTTTACCCTTAAAAAATCTCCCCATTTTTGAGAGAAGAGTTGGGGAGAATATCATATGGACCGCTTAATGTGGGAAGGATTCCAGAAATTAGGCTCCAGACAGCAGTTTCATGATTATGGGTCAAAATGTGGGTCATATCTCCCAAACTTGCCTAAGCTCTTTTGTTTAATGAAAAAATGATCAAGTCTCGTTGGAATTGTTACCCAAAAAAAAAAAGTCTCGTTGGAATCAACGTGCGAGGGTCCGAATGAAACTTTCTATAATAAAACAAACCATTTATATCAATAATAAATACCTTCACATAACCAAAAATAATACTACCTATGATCGTTAATATAAGACATTGTTTGACTTTTATTTTGATACTAAATACAAAAACCTCAATCCACTTTATCTCTCATATTTATGTATTTTTTTTTAAGATGGTCCTTCTAATAATGGTAATTCTAGTCACTACACTTGATTAGTAAGGATATTTTAGAAAAGACAACACCTATGTATTACAAATAACTAACTTAACTTATTTTTTTAATCTCTTCAAATTAGTCAACCAGCTCTTATAATTAGGACTGGAGGTAGTAATAAATATTTTTATGATTATGGCCTAATTTCAAATTATTTGACGTGAAAATATTTAATAAGCTTTGAACCGTCAATGAGAGAAAGCATTCTATGAAACTTGTCTAATGGATAAAGGGAAAATTTCACTGTAGGACCGCAGAAGACAATTAATATCAAAGAGCCCCCAAAACTTTCTGAAACCTCACTGCAAGACCAAGGGACCAATCTGATATTAATTCCACAAACGAAATGACGCCACTGCCCCTCATTTTAGAGTGAGATTACAATAATACCCCTCCCTTTTTATTTTATTAAAAAATAAATATTTACCGGAGTTACTGTTCCGGCCACCGGCGCTCAGGTGGCCGCTGTCGGGGTCCGGTCACCGGTGGCCGGAATAGTAACTCCGGCAGGACCTCCGGTGGCCGGAGGTTTTTTTGTTTAAAACAAAGTGGCCAAGGGAGGGTTTGAACCCATGACCCCTTGGCACACCAAAAGACTTGTAACCACCAAGCCAAGCAATCCATTCAATCATAAAATGCAAATAAAACTATATATAACAAAATAAACGCAACAGTCCAAGTGGAATTCATAAATTTGCAACAAAAATTAGGCAATTTACAAATAACATAATAGAAGTCATAACCCAAAATACAAGTATTTAAGTGCAAATGAGCAAGTAAAATTTGAAGATTTACAATAAAAGTTTGTGGATTTACAACCCAAATTTGGCAAACACAAGAGAATTCACAACCCAAAATATAAGTGTTTGAGTGTAAGTGAACAAGTGAAATTAGACGATTTACAAGTGTAATTCAGCAATTTACAACAAAAATTAGACAATTTACAAATAACATAATAGAAGTCATAACCCAAATACAAGTATTTAAGTGCAAATGAGCAAGTAAAATTTGAAGATTTACAATAAAAGTTTGTGGATTTACAACCCAAATTTGGCAAACACAAGAGAATTCACAACCCAAAATATAAGTGTTTGAGTGTAAGTGAACAAGTGAAATTAGACGATTTACAAGTGTAATTCAGCAATTTACAACAAAAATTAGACAATTTACAAATAACATAATAGAAGTCATAACCCCAAATGCAAGTGTTTAAGTGCAAATGAGCAAGTAAAATTTGAAGATTTACAACAAAAGTTTATAGATTTGCAAGTGAAATTCGACAATTTCACTTACTCATTTGCACTTAAACACTTGCATTTGGGGTTATGACTTCTATTATGTTATTTGTAAATTGCCTAATTTTTGTTGTAAATTGCTGAATTCCACTTGTAAATCGTCTAACTTCACTTGTTTACTTACATTTGGACTGTTGCGTTTATTTTGTTATATATAGTTTTATTTGCATTTTATGATTGAATGGGTTGCTTGGCTTGGTGGTTACAAGTCTTTTGGTGTGCCAAGGGGTCCTAGGTTCAAACCCTCCCTTGGCCACTTTGTTTTAAACAAAAAAAACTCCGACCACCGGAGGTCCTGCCGGAGTTACTGTTCCGGCCACCGGTGACCGGACCCCGACGGCAGCCACCTGAGCGCCGGTGGCCGGAACAGTAACTCCAGTAAATATTTATTTTTTAATAAAATAAAAAGGGAGGGGTATTATTATAATCTCACTCTAAAAATTAATATCAGATTGGTCTCTTGGTCCTGCAGTGAGGTTTCAGAAAGTTTTGGGAGCTCTTTGATATTAATTGTCTTTTGCGGTCCTAAAATTTTCCCATGGATAAATTCTTCTTTAGAGTTGCTTGTCTAGTATTATTATGCCCAGCCAGACATGATCACGCCCCCAGTTAACACTTCACTAAAAACCTATAAACCTGCCGTGCGATATCTTCAACTCCAACTAATGCAAAGCACTCTCATCATAATCATAGTGATCGAAAGTTGACAATTTTTTTTTAAGGGAAAAAAAAAAAACAAAAGCTACGGAAGATGCTTTGCTCCCAAAAAAAACAAAAAAGAGCTTTGGAAGACCCATACAAAAGCAGTGAGCGCTACACTCTGTTTATTCAAGTTCATTAGCCTCTTGCGATCTAAAAAGGGTTCAGTGAAAACCAAAGTATTGGCTTTCCATATAGATTATTCAAAATAGTACTCCAGTCCCTATTCAAAATTCAAAATATTCCTAAGAGTTGAAAGTTTTACACAGTCAAAATAGGGACGTTGTATGGGCAACAAGCCTTATCCTGCCATTTCATTCGCATTGAGTAATAAACAATGTTGCCAAACGCAACGGCAGATACCAAAAAATTGACTGGGGGCAATAAATAATGTTACAAAATGCAATGGGCACTTGCAAGCCTAATAAAGTACAAAAGAATACATTATTCTATCCTGCACATACATTCTCTACACCGTGGATACCTGTAGATACTTCTTCCCTTGGGCCTTGTCTGTACATGTTTGGTCTGTCTAACAGCTTTCCTAACTCTCTGTTCAAACACACGCCATTCTATGGTTGAGTTCTTGGTAAAGATACTAGCAAGCCTGCGTTTATTTGGTCGTATTGTTGGCATTTTGCCTCCACCGTAATATATACGATAACCAGACACCAAAGACGATAACTGACTTCCAGAATCGGTCATGGCAAATGCATCAGCAGCAGTACAGCCTATGAAGTCCAGTGCTGCTAGCTACAAAAGAAATGAGCTCTATCATTCATCAAATGATTAGCACTAAAAGAACCAAGCAGAATTAACTGTAGCATTCAGAAAATAAAAAATACAAAATGAAAAGAGGACAGCTTCTAAGGCCCCAAGAGATTCAAATCAAATAATTTCCCCAATTTTGGATATTGATCACTAAGGTATTTTGGGCCAGTAAATCACATAAAAACTGATACTGTTTAGTCAAGTTGAATAAGAGACTAAAATCCCAAAGGGACCTAAACGGGCAACGTACCAATCAACAAAAGTCAGAGTGGCTAGTTGCAAATTAGTTTCGAGTTTCACTTATCCCTCTATAGTCAAAAGCTGAGTAGATTATGTGGATATTAGGTCCCACCCAGCAATGCAATAAGGTGATTTGTAAGGCTGCACTACCTTTTTGCTGATACGCATTACCATTTACTAGGACTTGAAATACCGTCAGGAAAACTCTCAGATAGACAAGAATCACATTCTTGTGGAAGTTTAGCATCTCGAGAATATATTAATAAGTAGCTTAAGAGCAGAAGTTATATTTAAGGAAAAATTGTTCAGCAACCATATGCACACCTTTTCCATATAGAGAAACCAATAGTTTCAATGAATGGAAATTTTATGCACGCGTTGCACGCACACATTTATTTCTCCCATCAAGCCTTTCTGGTCATATATATACGAGCTTTCTGATATTGCAAAACAAAGGATAGCAATCCTACTCATTATGTAAACAGAGGCCAGGACCCAATAATTTTATATGCCAGTCCACTAAAAAGCCCCACTTTGACCGCACACTTCTTCAATATCACCCACTTCAAAAATCATATTCAAAAAAGATTTTCAACCAGCCAATCTCAACCAGTATTCAACCATTAGGTTTTGAACATAACACAATGAAAAGTGCTTATGAAACAGATTCCTTGTGATAATAAAATGCCCAACATAAGCAAAACAACGATGGCAACTGCACCAAACCTGAGATGAATAATTTGCAAACGGTTCCAGTTCAGTTGAAGAGAGCAAGTTCTCTTTAGTCACTAAATTAGGGTACAAGCTGGTCAGTGCAGTCAACCGTGATTGACCTCCATACAAATTAGAACCAGCTACAAATATATGAGTCTTCCGGTTAAAACCCAGAGCAGCAAGCATAAGGACAGCCTCTTCGGGTGTCAAGGGGCACAGACCTTCAGACCTTATCTCTGAAGGAGAGGGCAATCTGCACTAGAAAGTTGGTGTTATTTGAAGTCCATGTAGTTAAAAGAATAAGGAGGCTCATTTTGACATGGTAAATTAAAAAAAAAAAAACAACAACAACAACAACTCTGACGGGTGGTGCAGAAGACAAGATGCCTCTTGGGGGAGGGATTAAATGAATCCCATTACCACCCCACATCACCCCCCCCCCCAAAAAAAATGACAGAGAATGGAAGAGATCAAAAGAAAAACATTTCACAAAATTAAACAACCATTACCTTTATCCAAGATGAAATAACCATACTCTTAATAGAAATAATACACGTGGCTATATTAATCCAACATTTTTTAGGGTGATGCAGAAAATTCCCCCATTCCCCACCCCCAAGACACAGGAGAGAGTAATAATTGAAAGAGATACAAGTACTAGGAGAAGCAAAAGCAAATTGCAAACACATCTCAGAATAATTGTAAAAGCTGCTTTAGCAGCCAACCAGAACTACAAACTACTAAAATGATATAATAAGTGGGGGAATATATCTGATGCAATTGTCATAATGCATACTTTGTGGTCTTCTCTAGATGTGCCAATGCAGGGAAATGGATTTCACGATAAGCTGCCAATTCTTTCCTCTCACCTTCACCTCCCCCGAATTCACACAAAGAATGAGCTACCATGTCAATTTCAAATCTGAGATGCAAAGATAGATATTTAGATGCCTTTTTGGAATGATTTCCTCTTCCCTCCAAAATTGATGCCGCAAATGGACCAATGAGATATGGATCCAACAGTCCAATGTGACCAGTATGCTGGCGCAGCCTTTTAAGAAGCAAAGCACCAGTTTCTTGTATTCTGGGGACAAATCGCAGTGCATAAAAATTACATCTGCAACGAAGTCTCTAGATGAAGTTCTCCAATCAGAACAGAATAGTAAGGCTTCAGATGAAAACGACAAATCCAACTGAAATGACAAAACATCAAAAAGGATTTACCTGCAGCTCAAATGGTATTGGGTCAAATGCTAAGCGATTCCCAAAACCAACAAAATGAACAACTTGATTTTTAAGGAGAATAGGTAGAATGTGCTTCAAGTAAAAACTTGTCTTGGCCTCTTTTCCCATGTCAACATCTGATACCTGAAAGAAGACAATCCCAATAACTAATACAAAAGGAACTAACTGTGAAAGCAATTAGTTTACTGGAAGGGCAGTAACTTACAACACTACCAATTGCCTCCAAGTCTAAAGACCGCAATTCCTCAGGAAGTTCCTTCACTATCCTTATATCAGATGTTAAGTATTCTATAAAATGCTCCTCCTGATAGATGTCACTGAATTGACTGAAATTAATCAAATTATACAATTTGGTACTGTCAATTTCCATGTAAAGCAATTATAAGAAAAAGTATTGACCAAAAAAAAGGAGGAGATCAGAAGACCTATGGACCTAAAGACGTATCATTAAAATAAACAGGGCAATTGTAAAATTGGCAATTCTAGTTGAACATAAGAATAACTACAATTACCAATGATCCACATTACTAAAGGGAAACCCATAAAGCATATGTTAACATCCTGTGATGTAGTAATATTTAATCATATGCCCCCAAATTAGTCAGGGGGGAAAATCATGGGTATCCATTTGAAGCAGAAGTTCAATAGCAAATTACGTTCAGCCAAAACAACTAGAAAAGATTTCACTTAGGTAATATAACATTCATTAAATCAGCAGAATCCCATTTGGACGCTTATCCCAAGGACTGAACATTTGGTTATTCAATCATGTAAGACAAGAAGGGAAAAGTTAGAAGGATAGAAAGAGCATCATCACCTTACATCTCTCCATACACTACTAAACATAAATTTGGGAATAACCAAAGTTGAATTAAGTAATCGTGCCACAACCACCGCATTGCAAACCTATTGTCATCAAAATCAACATATATAGTATGTTAATCATTTAACAATAGAGCTTTTATTCTTTGGACCAAACTAAACTCATATTCAGAAGAAGTGAAATATCCATTAAGGTGGAACAGTCTAATAAAGACACTTACAGCTACTCGTTGTTGATTTATTCCACCATTTGCAGTCATCAAAATGTATCCATTATTTCCCTCTATCAAAGTACAATAGCAGACAGCAGACTTTGAGTGTCACCTTATAGACCAACATACTACATTTACTCACACACACGTACATGATATTAAAAATAAAATCAAATTTAACATAGGCATACCACTAGGTTTCCAATTACGCTGATCAGCGCAAGGTCTCCAGGCAGAAGCAGGAGCAAAAGGCTCCTGCCACAAATCTTTAGGCTCACGTTTATTCTGTACCCATATGAAACAAATCAGAACAACTGCAGACTTGCAAACAGAGAGACTTACTCTGGCATTTGATTTAATGATTCTAACATTTCATGGTTGTAATTACTAACAGGCTACAGATCCTGATACCTCTGCCAAAGCATGGGCAGCCAAAGCCAACAATCTTTCATAATTTCCCTTCGGTGGCTTTTTCCCTTTTCTAGTTTTTTTCCATTTCCCCTGCAAGAAAATAACAAATGGGAAAATAAAGTAAACAGACAATTGAAAGACCAAGAAATTAGACCTTTGAATTTCAACATCTGCTAAAATATTTAACAAGGGTGATGCACATGAAGGCTCTTCTTTTAAGGGGACAAATTCCTAGTGACTCCCTTAGACCTCAGTTTCCCAACTATTTACAGTCAGCTGCGCAATAGGCATCTACGTGATCATTTTTCATTCCTCTGTACCTGGATACAAAATGTATATCCACCATACGAATACTAGGTAAATGCCCAAAAAAAAAAAAAAAGCAAAATTCTCACATCCACAGGCCAAATATATGATATTATCAAAAAGATTGGGCATTAATTATTGGGTATCTAATATCCAAAGTGCCCTGCCGAAACCAGCTTCCAAAGTATGTTCATGCACTGGGTCCATCGGTTTTTTATTTTCAGAATTTACATGTATAGACCCATATATATGCTTCGCCTCAAGGTACATGGTAGAAAAGTCTCAAATATCGTCTGATCACATTAATACCCTCTACCATCTACTTCACTCGTTTTAACACAACTCCATCGTAAAAAGGTATGAACTGGTAGGCAACAAGTTGTAATTAGTAGCAAGGGACGGGGGAAAAAAAAAGTTCCTAGAATTTAAAATCCACAATACTAATCATGCACATACCTGAACCGAAACCGAAACTAAATCAGCAGATGAATTTCTCGATAACTCAGTGATAGGATGCACCGCTTCATCTTGCAGACGCGTAAGCAGAATCCAATTTACCAAGAAGAAGGAACCCAGCAGCCCAATAAGCAACAGAAGCCCTTTCACTCGTTTCGTGCGATACCATGACTTTCCCGCCTTCAACTTTCCCTTGTGCTGATGAGGAGGATTCAATTGCAACTTCCAGTTTTTCAGGAAGCCCCATGCATTCCATTTGAAAGGCGAAGAGGAGAATGAAGAATGGGATCTGTGGAAGCTCGAGAGCCGACTGGGTCCAAGTCTGGGGGAATGATTTGGAGAGGACTGATGGCTTCTCGAAGTTGGAGAGGTGGACGGAGAGTGGAAGGAGCTGGAGCGAGCGATAATGGGTTCATAATGATCCGGAACCGCATGGGGTGGATCATCATCATTGTCTCTCTTTGGTTGGAGGCCGTATCGTTTGTAATTGAATTCGGTGAAGAGATCTGTAGAAGATTGCATGATTCAGATTCGGGTCAGACCCAAAACCGGAGAAGCAAATGCCGGGAACAAGAAGAAGTAGAGTTGAAATACGAATTACTTCAAAAAGAAGACGAAGAGTTGAAATCTGAAGAACTACTTCAAACGGAAGAAAGAAAAGCTGTCTGAAACTCTGAATTCCGGCGACGAGGCTCTCGCTCCAAATAAGTAATACTACCAAGATTAAGAAGAAATTTTAAAAAAAATTGTATTTGGTTGGTTTTATCCCATTTTCCATTAAACTTGGCCCCTTAGATTATATAAATTAAGATATATTATTTGATTCATTTCAGCAAGTTACAAATGGATGATTAACGTGGAATTTAATTATTTCTACTGAATATGCTTTTTATTGGATCCAAATCCAAGTTTTCAGATGAATATAAGATTTATAATTTGGTGTGTCTTATAAAGAAAATTTAGTCAAATCAATATCTTAGACTTTCTAAATAATTTAAATAGCTAAAATATTTATCATGGATTTCATAATCTTGTAATGTAATTTTTCCGACCAAAAAAGAAATGGTTCTCTTGTGATAGATCTTAATTGTGGGAATGGCACTAACCACAATGTTTATATAATGCTGCTTTACCAAAACTTAGGCAGCCAACACGTTACCAATCAAATTAATTATGGAAGCGTTTGGCGGTGATTCTCTCCTTCTCTTATCTTTTCTTCTTATTATTATTTGGAAAAATGACTCTAATCTTATAAGAAAGGAAACCTAAGAAGTATTTGGGGAAATAAAACTATAGTTTTAAAAATGATTTTACGATACACGACATATACCTGTGAAGTTTACCTTTTTAAAAACATTTCTATGTTTTTCCAAGCACCCTCTAATAAAAAATCCCACTCTCCATTACTTATAAGTGGTGATCATTTGAGATTTTATGCACTATTATCAATTAATACTCTCTCCAACCTTATTTATAAGCTTTAAATTTGAAAAGAGCTCGTTATGTAATTGTTTTAACATTCAATATATTTTTTCTAATATTACCCTTAATTATTTTTTTCTTACTACATTTCCATTTACATTCTCTTTTATCTTTTATCTTATTTATTATAAGGATGTATTTAGAAACAAAAATATATTTCTAACATATTTATTATTTTTTATTAATTTTAATGAGTTATTCATTATCTATAAATTAGTTATTTGAAATTTATAATAAAAACTGAGAATATAAAACAATTTGTAACAAATTACATTATTCATAGACCATCAATAATACAACTCCTCAACATGATATACAAAAGTAAATAACATGTAAAACTTATATTTTATTTCTATAATACACATATTCTATACATATATATAACATAACTAAGTTTTTCTTCCTTCTTTTTCTGAGAACATAAAACTAGGTTACGACGCTAAGATGTTCGCTTCCATATCTCAATTTCATGCTTTTCTTGGGGTCCACAATCTAGTTTTTAATTAATGAAGTCAAACATGGAAATAATGGTTAAACAACGGTACCTTTTCTTCTCAAAAAGAAAACGGCTACACACTAAAGAAAAGAAATTATTTGCTCAAAAAACTATGTCTTCTAATCATCACCATGATTGTGGAAGGGAATAAAAGGACAAGTAGGCCCTTCAATATGCATGCTCAATCAAAAATCCTAGCTAGTTAGTCACCTTTAAGAGACGCTTTAGACGGTAATTTAATAAAAGCAAAAAAGGGGGAAAAACAGAGAGAATAATAAACTACAATATACAACATCAAGGCGAGTTAAATATAATATACATATGTTTTCCATAGTACTTTTTTATCCCAAGTAATAATAAAATTCCAATGCATGTAATTACAAATATCTTGGATCTGTTTGAAACATCTTCACAACTTCTCTATTCCTTCCTGTGTTCTGTCAGAAAACTGCATATCACTTTACACAAAATTGAAATAAGATCATATCAAAATGGCTCGAAATTAAAAAACCTTTAAAATGACATGTCAAAGGATTCATGATCTGGGGTCTTGTGACCAAACCCAGATTCGTCACTGGGGCGGCGTTTGACCACACTTGCTCTTTGCACTAGCCGGACCAGTGCTTGCACAACCTCAGACATGGGAGGTCGGAATTCAGGCTCCGGCTGTACACAAGCAAAATGAGAAAAAATGAGTTCTGTGTAACATGCTTGGAAAGTCATGATGCAACATGGTAAATCACATGGAATGTCCAGATTCCCAGCATTGCAGTTAATGAACCATTTGAAAATAAAAAACATTACCTGAACACAAAGGGCAATGATATCGGCAAAGCGTGACAGTGACTTCGCCGGATACATGCCATTCAAAGCAGGATCAACCATTTTGGCCAAGGCATCTATATCATGAAGTTGGGGAGTAGCCCACCTCACAAGCGACTGCTCTGATCTCGCTCGTGAACTACACTTATAGAAGTTACACATCAATCGAAGATATCATTAAGATGAAGAGTTTAAGAACTCATGGATTGCAGCAAAACATGAAAATGATGAGCATGAACATTGGCTTTAGAACATGTAAAATCCAGGTTCACCTGTCAAGTGGCTTCCGACCCGTCAATAGCTCTAACATTACCACTCCAAAACTGTAAACATCACTTTTCACTGTGTAAATTCCTGATAATGCAAACTCAGGAGCACTATAACCAAATGAGCCAACCATCTGAGTTGAAACCTGTTAAAGACAAAGAAATTTACTAACAGAGCATATGGCAAAAGAATCCACAGATATCATGTCCAGCCATGCATGCGGGAAACAAAGTATGTTCACCAACCTGCCGTTCAGTGTTTGGCGTTAAAGCAGCTAAACCACAATCAGACAGTTGAGGATTCAACTCCTCATCGAGTAATATGTTTGCCGATTTAAAGTTTCTATGTACAACAGAAGGCAAGCATACTTCATGCAAGTATCTGACCAACAAAAATGTAAAAGTTAAAATGCGGTATACTATCATGAGTTACTGCAGGGAAATGATGAAGTAGACTTGATACATAATAGAAAACCAACATACTCTAATGCTCGGGCAGTGCCCAGTGCTATTCGAACACGGGCATTCCAAGATAAAGCCTTGCTGCTATCTTCAGCAAAATGGAGTATGTCATGTAGATTTCCATTACCAATATGCTCGTAAACTAGAAGACGCTGCCCATGCTCTGCACAGTACCCAGCCAGTGTAACAATGTTTGGATGCCGCAGGCGTGACATATTTGATACAGCTTCAAGAAAGTTGTCTTCCTCCTGTAATGACAGTGCCGCATTGTCGATCTTTTTAATGGCCATGATCTAACAAAAACAAAACCTGAAACCATTAGAGATTGGAACATGCATAAATGTTGTAGAGTATAGAGTATTTGTTCTGAAGTTTGAATATCACAAAAAATGAGTCAAATCATCAAAAGGTAAAGGGAATTAAGTAATATTATGAGAAAACAAAGGTTATTTTGCTAAAATAGAAACATTAGTTTCAATTACTGAATGGGAAATTATAATTCCACATGATGAAAAGTTAACAAGGCAGAAGCATAACTAGCCTAAGGTAGAAGATACAGCATAGCCAAACCTATCAGTGAAGTAAAATATCTACAACATTGTAATGCAAATAGTCTACACTCTACAGTTTAATTACAACTAAAGTAATTTAAATAAAGAAGGATTGGGCTTTACTCAAAAAAAGAAAAGAAAAGGAGGATTGGGCTTCACATCTAAAATGTATTCCTTATCTATACATCTCTATACAAAGCAAGTATAATTTCCAAAATGATAGAAAGGTGATAACATTGCAACGTAAAAGGATTACCTTCCCATTAGGGAATTCAGCCCTGTAAACTCGACCAAGAGAACCTTCACCGATAATAAATTCCTGGCTGAAGCTATTTGTTGCACTTTGAAGAGTAGCAATTGTGTATGATGTAGCAGTTATAGGGGATTTTATCCGCTTAGCAGATCCATTTTTCGAAGGAACCCTCTCAGCTATCACTTTTTCTGCAGGAGGAGGTTTCAGGTCTGTAATAACAGCAGCACTCTTTACCCTCTGTTCTTGCATTGGAGGAGTTACTGCAAGTACAAGGCCAGATGAGCCCAGAACATGTCAAGATAGACATGAAAGTAATCTTTGTGAGAATTCTACAAAAGAAAATAATATCTAAAGACACTGCAAATTAACATCTAAGAAAATAAACTGCCACTGACTTTCTAATGGAAGATAGATGATACTGATGAGCAGAATAAAATGAATAGCTACGTGGTACAAGATGTCTAAATGAACAAAAAACAGAGATGTTCAGCAAGGCAATTACATAAAGCAAGAAGCTCCAAATCCTAAGTTACCTAGAGAAGCAATAATCAAACCCATCATTAACTTATTGTGCCTTGAAATATTAACATTCAACAGATAATGTAGCGGATTAATGCATGTCTAACATTACTGTTGGTTTAAGAAACACAAGCAGAAGATTCGCACGCACGCACACACAGTTAGAGACAGGGAACCACTGGGAGGGAATTCACCATTATTGGTTCCAAGAGGAGGAGTCCCATTGGATGTTCTCACACCTTTTTCCTTCTTTTTATGCTTTCGGATACATAAAGCAAGAGCAAGTAGCACAACAACAGCTAGAAAAACTGAACCCAAAATAATGCCTATAATAACCCCAGATGATAAACCCTTGTGGCTATCAGCATCTTCATCATCAGATTCAGAAGCATGTGCTTTGTGAGAACCAGAGCCAGAATGGTGATGGCTAGTAGGAGATCTTCTGGGAGAAGAGGCTGAATGTGGAGGAGGAGGAGGAGCAGGGCCATTGTCAAAGGAGTTCCCATCAGATCTAGTCCATATTTAAAGAGCCACATTAGTCAAAATGAAGAAGTTAGGCACTGCAAAACAGGAAGACATTGCAGACAAAGTTGCATTAACACGTACATAAAATTATGAATTGAACTAAGTTCCTGAGGTATCCATCCAGTGAAATTGTTGTTCGCAACATTTCTGGAAAACAATGGAGCAGAATTAGGTTATCATATGCAGATAATTTGAGCCCAGAGGTGAGAGAAACTTACAAAGTATCTAAAGGCAAACCAACAAGAACATTAAGAGAACCGGTCAACTGATTGTTCTGCAAAAAGCTGTAACATATTGAGT